TATATATATATATATATATATATATATATATATATATATATATATATATATATATATGCAATAAACTGACGACGAACAGTACGAAACTAGAAATTAACTAGCCTAAGCGCTTTCGACTCTTAATGAGTCTTTTTCAAAGGCAGATACAAAACATATATTGGATGACAAAAAAGCTGTACAGAAGCCCGGTCGCAGAACACTTCTCCCCTGGCCACACTTTCAGTGATATAATACTTATCGCTATTGCTAACAACCACAGCTGGAGTTCCGAAACCAGGAAGGAAAAGGAATCATACTAGATACGCCGACTTAGAACATTGAAACCAAACGCTCTAAACCAAGAAGAATAGAAAATGAAAACTATGCATTAGTAGAATTTAACATTTTCTAAATCTTCTTTTTATCCTTCAATTTTTACTATAAGAATAACCGGTATAGAATCAAATATCCTGGATATAATCTGCGTTACATAAATGTACAAAAAGTAAAAATAGATGTCGCTTTGGTTTGTAGACTTTTAGGGAATTATACACAGTTTTCAGTTTCCGCAACTAGTCTATACAGGCTGGTTGTATATATAGTTTTAACACATATGGAGACAGCCATGTAGAGGTTTACAAACACAACGTTTTTGTGTTTATTTGTTTGCCGTATATATGTTTTGTATTTGCCTTTGAAAAAGACTCATTAAGAGTCGGAAGCGCTTAGGCTAGTTAGTTACTAGTTTCGTACTGTTCGTCGTCAGTTTATTGCATCTATTTTAATCAATCCCTGACACACGTGATCCCTTGGTGGATCCAGTACGCTTGAAAGGGTTGTTATTCGCCTATATATATATATCTATATATATATATATATATATATATATATATATATATATATATATATATATATATATATATATATATCTATATCTACATATCTATATATATATCTATATATATATCTATATATCTATATATCTATATATATCTATATATATATCTATATATATATCTATATATATATATATATATATATATATATATATATCTATATATATAGATATATATATATAGATATATATATATAGATATATATATATCTATATATATATATATCTATATATATATATCTATATATATATATATATATATCTATATATATCTATATATATATCTATATATATATCTATATATATATATATCTATATATATCTATATATATATATATCTATATATATATATCTATATATATATATCTATATATATATATCTATATATATATATATATATATATATATATATATATATATATATATATATATATATATATATATATATATTAGTGTGTGTGTGTGTGTGGATCAGGACAACTGTCTAGGATGAGAGGTTTAAAAAATTAAAATGATGATATCCGACAACTTAGAGAGTAGTGCCAATAGTGATCAACAGACGAATAAATTCTTTTCGATGTTCTTTTTACTGTTTCCCCTGAAATCCTCAACTAATAACGGATAAGCCAAACTGAAAAATGCAACTTAATGGGAACTTACTCTGGAAGAAATATACCAAGTTTAAATACGGTTATTTCCCTTATAAGTTGTTAACTTGAACCGTATGTATCAGTGAAATATTTTGTTATGAATAGAAGATACCTTAATATTCTCTTTGCCTCTATATCCCGCGTGTCAGCAAATTTTAACGTACATGATTGACACCTTAATCAATAAAGTTTTTAAAGTCCCACTGTTATGTGTGCGTGGACATGTAAGCTCATTTTTGGGAAGTCGGAGAGGGGGCGAAAGAGAAAACCCGCCAATTCAATTATAATAGCCTATCATGTCCTAAAACACAAGAATACTGTAAAAATATATGCCAGTGCAAACAAAATTGGAAGCAATGAGCATCATTCTTGGACTTGTGGGACGCTAAAACTAAACCCATCAAGCTAGGTATTATTATGGGTGTCATTTTCCAATGCCATCAGAAAAAAAAAAACGACTTTTGGGTGATGGTGGTGGTTGGACAATACTTCTAATTAAGTTTGATCTAACTATATGTTTGCCCGCCCAAGCCCTGTCCCTCCCCCCCCCACATTACTTTCTGCTGGCGCCCTTGAATCCGTACACGCTGATATTGCACAGTGTAGGGAATTCATTGATCATGTCCAGAACAGTCGCAAGCAACAAGGACCCCGATCTGCAGATTAGTGTCTATGCTGTTTGTTTCACTGATTAATCTTAACAAAATGTATAGGCCTATAGATGCCATTTCATTATGGTACGGCAACTCTGGGTCTGTGAAGTTTGTGGTTGGTCTCAAAATACAAGTGAGTATATACAGTATTTATATTTAGTAGATCTGACAGAAACCAATAAGAGGGCATGTTATGGTGACCTTTCGAATTCCCAGCCACATAGCATAACAGAGAAAGAATTGCATTTCGTGTTAGTGAGAGTTATCTTTAGAAACATTTTGTTCCGAATGACGTATATCACTTTCATGCAAGGGAACGCCTTAATCTGATTGGTGAATCGAAATATTAGCATAACATGACCTCTTATCAGTCTCTCCGTTATGTCAGAGATCTGAATTTTTAATCAGATTGTAAAAGTGTTATTGCTAAGTTTAGGTCTGTCAATTAGACCTCTACCATCAGAATATTCATTTTGTCTACTCCACATACAAAACAGACAAGCTGGTATGCATTATTTGTACCGACAACATAACTCGTTTATACCACTCATGCAAAAAACATGCAGATCTTCGAATCTGGACAGGACCCCAGTAAATGTTCTAAATAGCAAGTCATACAGCTTTGCAAGCAATGCATCTAAAAATATTTTCACGAGATGTTTTTATTGTCTGAGACCGTTTTAATGAGTTACTGGCACGTAATAGCATTCATAATTTCATTGATGAACATGTATCTAAACGTAACTTAACTAGATTTTGATTTTGCCTTAGCGCTTATACTACAGTTGTGTACTCAAAATCTGTTTACAATACATGACCAGGCCTCGGGTCCATAGGGCGATGACTCATGAACACAATGTCAGGCCTTAAGAATACCTATCCAACACTTGAGAATGCAACACCAGGCTTTGATAATAGCTTGCTAACAATTTCGTACTAAGGGTAAATGGTATCCGGGACCAGTGGCAAAAAGGCGCCCTGGACAACTATGATGGCCCAAAGGGACAGAAAACAGGGCCAGCAAGGCCGAATCCGGGAGAGGGAGGCGGCTAGTATTGTGGGCTCACCCATTGGTGCCCGGAACGGAACCCTTGCCGTCAATGATTTTCCAGCGATGTAATGCCATTTGGCGGTTATTCCTGGCATGTAAATTTCATCATTCATACAAAACAATCAATCACCGTTTTTGTGCATGTCTGTCATTTCCACACTATGCCCAATAATAGATAGGAAGAATCATGTTACATGTTACATATTAAAAACACACACATTACAACGAGGCTTTTGAAAAACATTTTAAATATAAATACTAAAACTTACTTTTTTCATCAAAACAGCGCTACCTAATATCGCTGGTTTAAGACCAAAATAAAATCTAATGCATGTTTTTCTGCAATAGCAAAAGTAGAAAGATGTCAAGAATTTTCGCCGAATCCAAGCAACCTATCACAGCACATTAACGAGTCGTCTTTCTTTTTATTAATACAACACCATGTAAATAAAGTAGATAACTCGAGAAACACAAGCCTTCAGCAACAATCGCGGTAAGGTTTGGAAGTTTGAAGTCGTCTATCACTGCCGAATGCAATAACAACTGGCGATACACACACGATTCAGATCACAACCGACAAAAATTCAAATGATAATATTAAAGAATTCGGCGTTATTTGAAATTAACGACTTTTCCAAACCTTTACAAAAATATTCCCCAGTAATTGTCTAACGGAATCAAAGATGTATATTGTTTATTGATTTGTACCTAGGTGATACGTTAGTCCGAGTTTCCTTTGACCATTGCCACTCCATTTTTGATCTTGAACGAGCCCATTCCCTATCGAAAAGTTTGAATTCGACGACACGCAATATTAAATAAATCATATTCCTATCGAGTTCATGCAGGTATATTTCGATGAAAGGTTATTAAAGTTTATTAGGCCGGCTAGTAAGCGGGTAACCTATGCCGACACCAAATGGTGTCGGCGAATTTCAACTTTTCTATAGGATTGACTCTGACCTACACCCCAAAACGAATGTCCAAATATCAAAACTGGGTCGGCAAGGGTCAGAGGAAACTTGGACTCTTGTATTGTTCGATGTCTGTATCTCTCGCTCGCTGTGATGTGAAAGTGGATAAGTGGGGTGTTATGGGGCGCCGGAGTATTAAGTTTCAGTTTGTTCCTAAAGCACACTATCGCAGTAGAAGTGATTTAAAAAAATTTTGTTATACGGGTGCGTTATGTAATTTGCCGAAATGTCTGTATTCAATAATAACAAATTTAGAAACACACAATTTTGGTCATATTTGAAAGAAAAAATTATTAACTGTTTTGTCGTGTCAAGACCTCTGGAGTCAGGGGAACTGCCCCGTCACACACTCTTTTCCTCATTTATTACGCTACTGCATTATAGCCCTTGATAATACAATTGCAGGCCTTGAAAACACATGGCCATGCCTACAATACCAGGCCTTGATAATAACTTTCTAACTCTTGAGAATACAAATACCAGGCCTTTAGAATATATAATGATTCTTCTAGAATACAAGGCTAGACCTTAAGAATACCTTTCTAAATCTTGAGAATACAATACCAGGCCTTAAAAATACATGACGATTCCTCGAAAATACAAGGCCTGGGTTTATGAAAACCTTTCGAGCCTTTGAGAATACAAAGACAGGCCATACACTTTATATTACTTCAAAGACCGATATTGATTAAATGCTCTGAACTTTAAGATAAAGTATTTCTAAAGTATTATTACTAATTCTTAGATGACACACTTCTGGATATTTTCTTTGCTGCACTATTCCTACATGTTTTTAAGGACCGCTCCGGTGGTCTAATGATTAGAGCATTTGCCTCAGATGCAGGAGGTCGAGGGTTCGAACCACGACCGAGTCATACCAACAAAGTACTTAAAACTGTCTCTCTTGGATCTCAACATTATAATAAGTTAGTACTAGGAATTGGTGACCTGGTGTCATGATAAATTGACAGGGCGAGACATGATGCTTCGTGTCTTCGGCATGTAGTGCTAGACATCACTATAAACTGTCTCATGCAGACACCGTAGCGCCATGATTGAAAAATTGTTAAAGCTACGTTAAAAATCTAAACGGATACAACTTTTGAAATATTTTCTTGGAAGAAACAATAATAACCATTCGGTGACTATAGATAAACTCTCTTGTAGTTTACTTAGTACACTTTATGAAGTACAGGCCTGATCTAAGGATATTCAAGTCTAGGCCTATGAGGAACAGGCCTGAAATAATAATATTTAAGTCCTGGCCTATGAAGTACAGGCCTGAAATAATGATATTTAAGTCTAGGCCTATGAAGTACAGTCCTGATCTAATAATATTTAAGTCTAGGCCTATGAAGTACAGACCTGGAATAATGATATTGAAGTGTAGGCCTATGAAGTACAGGCCTGATTTAATGATATTTAAGTTTAGGCCTATGAAGTACAGGCCTGATCTAATGATATTTAAGTCTAGGCCTATGAAGTACAGGCCTGGAATAATGATATTGAAGTGTAGGCCTATGAAGTACAGGCCTGGAATAAGGATATTGAAGTGTAGGCCTATGAAGTACAGGCCTCATCTAATGAAATTTAAGTCTAGGCCTATGAAGTACAGGCCTGGAATAATGATATTGAAGTGTAGGCCTATGAAGTACAGGCCTCATCTTATGAAATTTAAGTCTAGGCCTGGTCTGTTATTTTTTTTAGTTCAGACATGATCTAATGATATTTGACTGAATAGCCGCTAAAACAAAAAGAGGAAGTGAAAAGACAAATCAATAAGAATGATCCAAGTTATATACTAGCCATAGGAACTTGATGTCAATACTTTTAACGACTCTTTGCGTATGTTTAAATTAAACGATAAAGGCAGCTACTGTTATGTTGACCGTATGAATGTTATTGTAACTTGTGTACTGATCTTATTTAAACATTTACCAGTTATAAAGATACAACAAACAATGACAATTCGCTGGTTTTTTATTTATTTTATTTTTCGTCTTATGTTGTGATGCCATATAAGCAATAGCTTTGAAAACACCAGAGAGACAATGAGTTCTTAATAGCAGGAACTCAGTGTGGTATAATGCATTAGCATAATAAAGTAAATTATTATGTAAACCATTAACAACTAACAAACGAATAATGTGAAAGGCTAATGTTGATCATGGTAAATAATGGAATCTCAATAACATAACACATTCCACGCTTGAATCAAACGCGTATTCAATCCAATTAAAATAAAAATGTCTCAATTGCAGATCACTTTGGCTTTTTGTTATTAAATATTTCTTTCGCATGTCAATGGAACCCTTGGATGACAAACCTTTCATGTAGATATCGAGTAGGCTTTTTTTGTTAGAAGTTGTTGAAGGCATACCAAGGTGGAGGCGCATAGTACAACCCTGAAAAGATTAGAAATCGAAACAATTAACACTAGACAAATTTAAGCTGTATTAAATGTGCTGACTTTAGGAATGTATTTTAGCTTTTAAAATAAATTTACCTCAGGAAACACTTTTACAGTAAACCATCTTATCCGATGTTGTCAAAAGCAGAGAGAGAGAGAGAGAGAGAGAGAGAGAGAGAGAGAGAGAGAGAGAGAGAGAGAGAGAGAGAGAGAGAGAGAGAGAGAGAGAGAGAGAGAGAGAGAGAGAGAGAGAGAGAGAGAGAGAGAGAGAGAGAGAGAGAGAGAGAGAGAATGAGTGATACCTTTCAAAATAGTCAACAAGTATACTATGGGTTTCGAATTATATTTAAAAACGGGATTTCTACGCATTTTTGTTTCTGGCAATACACATCTCGTTTGATAGAGATCAATTATGTGAAGTAATATTTGCGAGAGACTTTTTAAACTCCTACTCATTCGTGCTATCGGCTCCTTGCTTGCAATTAATATTTTATTTCAACTGATCTTTCTATGCGAACGGTAATTAAATCCATCTCGCTTGACCCATGGTATTAAAAACCATTCAGAACATTTACTATATATATATATATATATATATATATATATATATATATATATATATATATATATATATATATATATATATATATATATATATATATATATATATATATATTTGTGTGTGTGTGTGTGTGTGTGTGTGTGTGTAGGTAGGTAGGTAGGTAGGTAGGTAGGTATGTGTAGGTAGGTAGGTATGTGTGTGTGTGTGTTTGTACAATCCTTTCATCCCTTTGACGTACGTCCGCCTCGAATGCGGCAGTAAAATCGCGGGTTCGAACCCAGGCCGAGCCATACTAAATATATAAAATTGGTATTAACAGTTGTCTCGCTTGCACTGCCGAATTACCAAGTAGGGGCTCTGCGACAACGGATCAAAATAATACTGAATTAATATGATCTCGAATTATTAATAGATAATTTGCGAGGAGGGTGGGTGGGTGGGGGCTTGAGATTTCGACTGTCGTTGTACTCGCAACAACAAAACATGTCAGACATGGAAATTAATTATCGAAAAACAAATCTAATAAGACGTCGTGTGCGTACCTAAAGTTATTTCCCCTTACTCTCTTACAACGTCCAAGGAAAGGTGAATGATTCTTTTTTTTTTCAAATCAGACTTGTATTGTTTTCAGATAATTTCCAATTGTTTACAAAATGGCAACAAAAATTAATTTACTTTGACAGATTATATAAGCTCAATCGTATGGGTTTCTTAATTTACGTATATTTATATGATCAGGCTACGAAAGTGAGGCGAATTTACGATGATGTAGGGTGAGCGTATTGAGCTGACAATAAAGTTTAATATTCTCAACTTTTTGTGCTTATTTCCGGGGTCCTCCCTCCACCAACCACACTGACACCAACATTTTTGTGCTTATTTCCGGGGTCCTCCCTCCACCAACCACACTGACACCAACATTTTCATCAAGAAATCGTTAGTTTCAAAGATCATTTTAGCTTTATTTATGTTCTTTGCATTTATTTTGGCTGAATGAGGTCCATTACATGTTACTCTAGCAAAGCAGAGAACACATTAGAATGCATGGGGGAACAGTAACAGCAAGGATCAAAATATTCTGACAACTGCTTTGTGAACCTTACTGTACTGTGCATAAAGATTAACAGAGGCACCATAGACTTAAACTTTGGCAAAATGAATACGTATTTACTATTTTTGTAGTTATAAAACATGTTATATTTATTTGAAGAATGGGCTTACTTTCGACTCCAAAGCCCCAACAGGGTGTTTCGATCCAGAGGAAATTTTGAGAGTGACAAAAGGAAGATAAATACATAATGTATATCGATGATCATGGTGACTCCTACTTAATTTCATGCACCAATAATTGATACTTGTTAAACGTGTGGAGTTTGTATTCTGTTGTTTTTAAAATAAAATTCTTCACCAAGGGAAATGGCGTGGGTTGTACTTTGTATGGAATCGTAAGATAAACAGAATACAACACTAATAAGATGCAATGATACTTTTCTTGATGTAAACGAGCCTTATGTAAATATCTAATATACTCACTTCAAGAAGGAGTCCAACTGTCAACAGCATAGATCGCGATCTTCCGTTGCACACATATTAGGGTCTATTTTTATTGTTCTACTGATTAATACTTACAAACTGCATATAACCAGATCTACCGGTGCACCATACGACGGCAGATGTTCGTTTTTGCAGTTTGCAGTTGGACCCAACTTATGAGTGATTATATACGGTAATAAAGAAGCTGAATTTGCCAAAATGCGATTCTAGCTAAGTTATAAATGACTTTTTCTTGCATATACGTGTTACATACCTTGTGAACGTAACATGGAGGGTTGAGAGTACTTGATAGGATATTCGACAAGCTCCCAATATGTTTGTGTACACGTCATGTATATTCTCCTACAATGCATATTCGTGTAATTGTTTCCCTGATTTTATACGTGTATATGTTCCCACAATGAACATTCGTGGAACTTTTTCCCATATTTCCTAGATCTATATGTTCCCACGATGCACATCGTGGAACTGTTTCCCTGATTTTATTCTTGTATATGTTCCCACAATGCACGTTCGTGGAACTTTTTCCCATATTTTCTAAATATATATATATGTTCCCACGATGCATTTTTTCCTCGACTTTAAACATGTAACGTTTCCGCTGATTCTAAAATGGAAAAGCATTTTTTCAAAGAAAAAGCAAATAAAACAATGCCAAGGATATCCCTTTCTGAACTGAACGAAATTAGCTGGCTATATTTGTTTTTCGCGTAATAGTCTATTCATGTATATATATATATATATATATATATATATATATATATATATATATATATATATATATATATATATATATACATATATATATATATATATATATATATATATATATATATATATATATATATGAGAAATAATAATAATAATAATAATAATAATAATAATAATAATAATAATAATAATAATAATAATAATAATAATAATAATAATAATAAATAATGCCGTCCCTACGGAACTCCTGAGACGTAGGCTAACAAAGTACAAAAAGTTGGTTTGTAATTGGCAGATTATATTAATGAGCGAAAAAGAGTACATGAATAATATGACAGTGGCTAAATATTAAAATTGTGCCGTGATTCAAATGCAAGTGTTTGAATGCTCAGCTTATTCTGAGAGAACAATTTTGAAATTTGCTCCAGATATGTATGAACTACCTCTAATGTGACTCTCTCTCTCTCTCAATGAGTCTTCCGTTACATAAACATAACGTCTTTCATTTACTCAAATAAAGCATGTATGAAATGATTTATACAGTTTCACCAAAAGCAGAGTTAAAAGAACTGTATATTTTACCTGTCTCATCTGGATTAATCATGGCATAAATCACGTCGTCTGGTTGAGTACAGGTT